AGTTAAACCAGGAAATAACACCTGGTTAGACCTGATGGTCAGACCCTCATCGCTGCTTTAGCCCAGCACCAGCTCTTGTCTTAGTGGGGAATTACCAATTCAACTCATTGACATGATTTCCCCATTTTTGCTTTTAAGAAGCAAAATCCCTTTAATACATTTCATTAAAAAAAAGCAGCCGATGAATCACGTGCTCAATCAAATTCAGATGATTCGAATATTAGAAGATATTTCAGTGGATTATAACTTCTTAATCCTTTTCATTAACAAAAATAACAACACTTGGAGTCTGTGTTGTCTGTTTGCGAGTCTGCAGGCCTGGAAGCTTGTGGGATTTTATTCCAGGCATGGCACTGTGTGACAATGACCCGGAATAATCCCCTTTGCCAGCTGACCGAGGCACTAAAAGGTTAAATATTTCCTGTACAACCAGCAGAACAGGGAGAGACAGACCCCAGTTTAAATGCTACATCTCAGCACAACTTGTCTAGGTACAAGGAAATACAAGGAGGAGTTTCCTACCTGACTGTATGTGTGGTACAAACCCTACAGAGATAAATTGATATATTAGAAGTTCAGTTGGCAGCTGGCGGCGCCCAACGCATCAGGCTCCGCTCTACAACGCGCTGCCGCCTGCTAAAGCCTTCCCAACCTCTGCAAGGAGACAGCCAGGAAGCATTTATTATCTCAAATTTTACTCTAGACACCTCGCTTTCCAATTGCCTTCCTTTTGGGGATGAAAGCAGAGCAGTTTTTTCCATGAAGTCTTAACATTTTTGAACACCCTCAGCCAGGTCCCTCCTGGAAGGACTCTGGAAACTCAGCAGCTCTTGGCTGCAGTCTCATGTCACAACCATACTCAACACCACGAACCATCTTCATGACTTTTTCATCCTTTCCCACTCCTACCACGTTTAGGAGGAAGCAATCAGGTTGGGGAATACTCCAGATAAAGGTGAACTGCTTTATATGATCTTATAGATTTTTGACATCCAAAAGCTGCCAAAAAAACCCCAAAACCAATTAGTTTCTGCTCAATGGGTGTGTTTACCTTCAACCCCACCACAGAATATCTCAAGTTGGAAGGGACCCATAAAGATTATCAAGTCCCTACCATGAGTCTTTAAAGATAAAGAAACTTTCAAGCTCACAGTTTCTTTTTGCTGCATTTTATAAAGCAGATTATCACATTTAATTCCAAACAAACACCTCCTGACATCGCAGCCACCAAATTCCAAAAGAGTTTCCAAATTATCTGGAGTTCCTCAAAATCCTCCGCAGCATTTAATACCAGAAACAATTAAATCATCACCAACAAACTTCACCAACACGTGAGCCAATTCCTGCTCCAAGCTGATGGCAAGTAGATAAAATGACATCAGACCCCACACAGCAGAACCTCCCTAATTCTCTCTTCCACACAAAATATTCCCACCCCCATTTCTCCGTGGATCGTATCCCCAGAGACCAGTTTGCACTCAGAGGATTCTAAAACATCTCTTTCCATTTAGTTAATTGCAGGCACAGTAATTAACACTAAACCTGAACTTCCTACACGTACTCACTAGCATGAAGTTGTTGGTTTTCTTCTGTGGTTGGTAACAACAGTGCAAAATTAGCAAATTTTATTTATTGATGATCTGGAAGAGAAATTAGATGGTGAGCATCATATAAAACATCAGCTCTTTGAAGCTCTGCATCATCTAAATGTCCTATTTCCAAAGGAAAATATGCACCTATAGGGAAAGGCATTAGGAATTAATGAATTTAACAAAAAGCTTTTAAAAAAAAAAACAAAACCCAAAACAAAACCAAACCCCCAAAGTATTTAATTTAGGTGAGATTAAATAAAATTAGTTTAATGCCATTTTTTTAAAAGGTTTCACTATACAAAATTTCTCTACCACCAAGACAACCTTTACAAACACAAACTCTGAGGACTAATTCTCAAAAAAAAAAAAAAACCCCAAAAGATTATAAAATAAATTATGTTTTCTAAGAAACCGAGCACATGGAAGCTTCACAAAAAGAGATTGTGAGGAAACACGCAGCTCCAAGGGACACTCAAAGCAAAAGCATTCCCAAAAATGAGATTTTTTTTTTAATACTTGGAGAAGTTCAACCACTGCAGTCCTGAGACAAACAGGAGTCACAGAAACCGGCTCAAGATTTAATCCTTGAACAGTGGAATGGACCCAAGAAAGAATATTTCTAGGTGTGGAATGGGACATACTCCACGAGGTGAATAAATGGGGTGGAAAAGCCGCTCTCCCCACGCCGCCGTCCCCGCCGATGGATTTGGAGCCACTTTTCCTCGGCCACATCCAGGGGGGATCTCCAAGGCCGCTCACTCCTGTGCTCAAAGGAAATAGGAACGTTCTACAGACAGGGACAGACAGGACACATCTCACTGAGAGACACTGGGGAGAAGTTCTTCACTGTGAGGGTGGTGAGACAGTGTCCCAGGTTGCCCAGAGAAGCTGTGGCTGCTCCTCCCTGGAAGTGTTCAAGGCCAGGCTGGATGAGGCTTTGAGCAACCTGGTCTAGTGGAAGGTGTCCCTGCTGCTGGCAGGGGGGTGGGACTGGATGAGCTTTAAGATCCCTTCCAACCCAAACCAGTCTGGGATTCTGTGATTTATCATCACCAGAGCCTGACCAGTGACCTGCCTCCAGACCAGCCCACGGCACCCACGGCACCGCTGATCCCACCAGCCCTTCCTACGGCCGCTTCCATTCCACCCTCATTTTTCCTATTCTTTTTTTCCTTACTCCCTCACTAAATTGTTGATCTTCCACTCCCATTTCATTCACAACTACATTACAGGTAAATTAAATAGCATTACTGAAAAATTCCTTCAATCAATTGCTGAACTGAGCAGAACACATTAATTACTCCTCTTTTAAAAGTCGAGCAGCTAAAATACACCAATGACAAAAAAAAATTATCAGATAAAGGAATCAAACCTACAAGATAAGCAGCTCCACTATTTGTAAAAAATCTGTCAAGCCACGAATATTTAAACAAAATATTAAATATAATAAATTACTAATCAGAAAGTCTGCCTGCCTGCTGACAAGCTGACAAGTGCTACTTCGTATTTGAATGCAAAAGAGAAGATTTTACTTTGAAGGCAAATTCTTTTGATGGGGAAAACCTGTGTGGTAAACACAGCAGTTCATTTCCTCAGTAAACCAGAAATCTATCCAAGAAAATCTTCATACACAGGTTCCCCTCAAGTGAGGGGACCCTAGGGTTAGGGTTCCCCTCAAAGTTATGACAACTGCAGAAGTCTTTGTCCTCTCCCAAGGGTTACAAGGAGAAGTGGCATGTCCTGTGTCACTAGACTTCTACTGGAAAACAGCAAGTTAAGGGCAGCTCTCACTGAGAGATACGATAGCAGAATCATTTATAATTAGAAAAATTAAAATAATGGTCTTTTTAAAATGTTTCAACATGTTGTTTTATATATCTCTATATATATCTGTAAAAGTATTAGACTCAAATAACAGACCCCTTCATTTTAAAGGCCCCTCAATGAGACCTACTGGTCATTAATTACCTATTTGGTGTCTGTTCCCACTGTCACATCATCCACCTTTTCGCTGGAGTTTTGGAATTTGGAAGCAAACTTCCACGCACGACTCACTTTTAACATCCTCCTTGAAACCTGCGTGTACAATTCCCCACATTCATAATTGGGAAAGTTCACACAAGAAGCAGGACTTTGTACCCTCCCATTGGGAGGGGGACACTAAAAAAAAACAAACCCCAAAACAGCCTGGAATACTCAATCTAAACACAATTTCTAGTTTTCAAATAATCTGGTTTGCAGACAGTGGGAAGAGGTTTAAGATTTTTAAATTGGAAGAAAGTCTTTTTTAATCCACACATTCTTATCTTTATGCTGATAATAAATCAATGTGGCAACTTAGATTTTGAAGTTAAACATTACTCATCTAACCTTTAAAGAGAATGAACATTTATAACTAAAAGGGAGTTATAAATTACCCAACCTTCACCTTAAAAAATAACAGCTAGCACCAAGTGTCTGGGATAAAGATCTCCTGTGGAGAAAGTGGCCTTTAGCAAAGCTATTTAAACCACTAAGGATTTGCTTTATACACATATGAAACAAGGTGGGTTTGTTTTGTACAGGAGGTATATGGTTGATTTGAGTGAGGAAAGTGGCATTGAGAGTGGAATAATAATTAAAAAGATGATGTTTGGAAATATTTGGCGCAAGTTTGGCTCATTCTGCGTACAAAAATAATTAAAACAAACCAAAACAAAAGTCTTTCTCCTGCTCCACGACAAAAAGGAACCCAAAACACATCCCTTCTATCTGCAGCTACCAGTTAACCAGTACTTCACAGAGGACCCTACGAATATTTGGACAACGTGGGGTGAGAAATCAGCACCTAAAAATATTTTTTTCCATTTCAGCAAAGCAATTTTGAAGACTCCTCGTCTCCGCCAAGCGCTGTTTTACGACAGACAAACCCACACCATCCCAACGCTTTTCAGTTCTACTGTCACATGATAATCTAGAATTTGGGCCAAAGAGGGAAAAAAAAAAACCCAACAAAACAAAAGTAAACCTTTCAACTTAAGAACTAGTCATTAGAAAATTGGGTTATCGAGTCCCTGCACCTGAACACTCAAATCCAGGTGAGAAACTTCTCATCCGCGCCGTATCAGACTGGTCAGGAGCTGTCACCTGGCTGACAGGTAAGCTCTGGATAAAGCACAGCACACACACTTCAGTCACTTCAGAAAGGAGTAGTTGCAAGGTGTTTTACAGAGGAGATCTGGAATCCTTTGTTGCCTAGGCTGAAATTGGACACGTTGGATAAAAACCTGTCAATTTCTAGAAGTGGAATTTTCCTTTTTTGAAGTCACCAATTCTGCTGTCTGGAGGTTTCAGACCAGTTTCCCCCAGTAGCAGGGGGGAAAAAAAAAACATGTGGAAGTGCAATACTAGGCTAATTTCTGCCCACTTTCAGTGTTCATGTTGACAATTGATTTTGTCTTCAGAATGCTCCAAAACATCCAGCATTTCTTCTATGATAGCCTGTAGCGCCCGGCCCAGCTGTTCTGCTGTGTATGGTTTTCCCAGTGGAGGCACGTGAACAAAAGCTGATCTCCCACGGCTCTGGTAGAGGGAAGTGTAGTAAGTGAAGTCACAGAGGTATCTGAAATACAAGAAGAAAGTTTATTTAGCAACAAGTGACACATACGGGGTGCAAACTGCAGGACAGGAGGAATTGTTCTTCTTATCACTCAGCATTGCAGCAATATCTGGAAGAGCAGAACACAGCCAGGGTCTGGTGAGTGTGTGATGGTTTTCATCAAATCTCAGACAACAGGATGTAAAAATCTCTCTTTTTCCCCCCCCCCGATGATTGGGTGACCACTGAAAAATAGATGGTATCATCAGCCCCATGAGGACTGTACAGGTCTCAGAAGTTGAGCACAAAGGGAACGTGCATTGCAGCAGGAGTTTATTTTCCCCACGGATGCACGGTCGCAACCCAGACCAACCATGTCCTGGGCTGCACCCAGAGCAGCGTGGGCAGCAGGTGGAGGGAGGGGATTCTGCCCCTCTGCTCCGCTCTCCTCAGACCCCACCTGCAGTGCTGCCTCCAGTGCTGGGGCCACCAACAGCAGAAGGACATGGAGCTACTGGAGCCAGTGCAGAGGAGGCCACGAGGATGATGCGAGGGCTGGAGCAGCTCTGCTGTGAGGACAGGCTGAGAGAGTTGGGGCTGTTCAGCCTGGAGCAGAGAAGGCTCCGGGGAGATCTTATAGCGGCCTCCCAGTACCTGAAGGGGCTCCAGGAAGGCTGG